CCCTGGGTACGTTAAGTGCTAAGCTAGATAGTCTATTTAAGAAGAAATATTAATGCTGGACAACTCTCCTAGCTGTTACTGAATTAGAAAATGGTGTTTTCCCGGAACTGAATATATATTAGCCTTTACCTGCAACAACTTTGAAATAAAACTCACTTTTTATTGACTTGGGATAACATTGTGAAATACTCTTAAAATCATTCGAAGAGGTCGAATACCTGCTTTATGTTATATCGTATGTATTTTCCTGGGCGCTCTCTGAACGAGGTGATATATTAACATTGAACCAAAAGAATAAGACAAAGACCCACCAAAATTCTGATCGGATTAGACAGACGAACTTAATTGATTACGCCTAGATCATCTGTTTTTTTTCGGCGTGTTTGCCTATTTGAAGGCAAACTACTCCGTCACTTTTAGAGATATTTCAGCGAAGCTTTACAAGATGTTAATAATTTTACCCCATACAACCGATTTGTTTAGTTATGAGATTTTGGTTAAAAAAAAATCCAACAAAAAAGCAAACAAGAACATGAAGGTCGGTATTCTGCACACAAATAAGGAATTGCAGGCGTGAAAATTAGTATTTAATATACATAAATTCAAATAGATTTTGATAAAAATCTAGTCAATAAATACTCAGGAAGTCTAACGTGACGTCCATTTGGCAGAATAATACCAAAAAAGTACTCTATTTCACCACATGTGGTGAAAAGCTTTTTTGAATAATACTCCTGATTAGAATCGGCTTTTTATACGAGTATATTTGTCTACTAAAAAGTAATATATTATTTTTGAATTAAGTTCAATTTTTTAAGGTAATGTCATTATGCCTCTCTCTTCGAAATACCTATCCTTATCTGCCAAAAATTGGCTCAACTGATTTTCACAGTCTTCTCTTCAGGCCCTTTATTCACTGGCAAAATTATTCGTCATAGAGAGGAATATGTGGTAATTACTTGGTGTTGGGTTTTGACTATAAAATAGATGCACGAGAAGCTCCCAAGGAGCTCCTGGCGGGTCAATAACGATGTGTGGGCGATTTCTTCCTTCAGAGGGAAGAATTAGTGGCAGGTTCTAGAGGATTATTCCTTGCAAATCCCACCAAACACACAAAAAACCCCCCTGACATAGAGACCGTTTGTTCTAGCTCAATGCTCTTCGACCACGACCGGTTTTGTGTAACGTTGCTGTAAGTGGAAATTCCGTACTTGGGGTTTTTTCTCATTGACTCAACGCTTTCAGGTGGTTCCAAACTGTTTTTTGTGCTGCTGTTGAATAATCGAAGATTTAAAGGTGCTCGCATTACGATTAGATTTCTATTATTCAATCGACATTTCAATTGCCTTTCCACACCGTGGAGCATTATTCACGTTTTCAGGTGTCTAACTTGCGATGTCACCTATTTACAGTGTATTTCCTTATCTAAATATTAAATAATCGTAAAGTTGTACTTATTCTCCCTTTTATCCTTTCCAATAAAAATTAAATTTAATAATTCAAATGTCATGAAATGTAGATGAATAGTTGAATATTTTAAATATACATTTTAAAGCTGTGATTGGAGAATTTTTTTCATTAATTTCGGTTGTTATTGAAAAACTTTTCACTTTTTGGGCATTTGGATTAAAAACTTTTTGTCGCGTCAAGCACGAATTGTAACGAAACTCGCTTATTTTGGTACATAACTTCGTTAAAGTCAATGTAAGTTATATACATACATATATATTTCTGTATTTTCAAACAATTTAAGTCAAGCAGATTGACAAAACTTTTGCCAATAGGAGCAAGTTTGCATCAAATTCCGACACAATATAATCGTTCGTTATGTTCATTCTTCTCATTTGCATATTTCGTCATTCACTACACCTTCGCCACTCGCACGTCGCTCAAAACCGTCAGGAGCGACAGAAAGCGGAAAGCGGAAATTGCTTTGCTGGCAGTCAAGATTTTTCTCAAACACTTTCAATCAAACTCAGTTTTTAACATAATAATGAATGCCGTTTCAGTTATCGCCGTCAAACCGTGAAATATGTGAACAACACAAAAGGCCATGAACGGTGAAATAGTTTAGTAATATGTATCTGAGACATTGGTTAGTAATAAAAATAATTATATTTTAATTTTTATAATTACTTAAAATTTTTTTAATTTAAAAGTAGTGGAATTTAAAGAGTACCTAGTTGATGATAAGACTAAATGACAAAGAGAAGTTGGCGCGCACGGCGTTTACATTTTGGTTTTATGTTGGGAGCTTAGACAGGCAAAATCAATCAATTTTATTCAAAATAGTCTCCTTCCGCTTTAATACAGTTTTTGCACGGTCCAAAATCATGTCGAGCGAGTGTTTTAGCTGATTGCCCAGTATGGCCACCAGTATGCCGGTGCAAGCCTTTTGCATGGCCTCCACGTCCACTTAACGCTTTCTTTTCTTCGGTAAATGCATTTTTCCGAAAAGGTAGAAGTTGCACCGTGCCATATCAGGTGAACACGGGGAGTGGTTGATTATTAAAATCTGATTTTTGGTCAAAATAATCGGCCACAAGCGTCCATCGCTGAGACGGCGCATTATCGTGCAAAAAACGGCAACTTCCATCTTCGCGATATTCGGGCGGAAGGCGTCGAATACGGTGCACCAGACGCTTTAAAACTCCAAAATAGAATACTACATTAACGTTTTGGCCGGTTGAAACAAGTTCTTTGTGGACAATACCCTTGAAATCATAAAAACAAGTCAGCATTGTCTTCACTTTTGGCTTCTCTGAGCGCGATTTTTTCGGTTTCCGCTCGTTCGGCGCCTTCCATTCAGCACTTCTGGCGTTTCGCTTCGGGATCATATTGAAAACACCACGTTTCGCCACCAGTCACAATCTTGTAAAGAAAGTTCGGGTCTTTTTTTGCCTATTTAATGATGTCCCTCGAATGTTGAATTCTGAGCAATTTTTGGTCGTCAGTCAATTTGTGCGGATAAACCGTGCCCAAATGTCAAATGCGATAAATCAACGTTTTGGTTCGATTTTAAATTCTACTTCCATGAATTTGAATGATGATTTCGGCTAATTTTGTATGAATTCACGCACAGTTTTGATGGAATTTTCAATGATCACAGATTTTGGTTGGCCCACATCTTCAATGTCATTTATGACCACTTTGAAAACATTCAAACCACTCGTTCACTCTTTGAATGATGTTTAGGGCTGCGTGAGATGAGGTGCTATCCTATTTGCACCAAACTTTTGAAAAAAAATAACCCCAGATCACTGACTTCACGGATAGAAACCTTTGGGACTGGATAATAACAGCAAGCGCCGACTTGGTATATGATGGTGGACAAGCTCGCAAGTAAGGACACTTCCATTCCACTTTCGTCATCTTGGAAAAAATTGTTTATGTTGCTCTCCACTTGTAAGCTAATAAAGTATATATTATTTGCAGAGGATACTAATTTAAGACGGAGAAGTCTCAATGCATTTAATGTGGATGAAACCGAAAGTCTTGTGACCTTCCCGAGCTAAAAAGAAAGAAGATATCTACAGTTATAGGTCTTCTATTCTATTGAGAAGGCACACTGAGATGCCGGCCGTACTATCTAATGATTTCTGCAGTATTTGCAGACTTTCCTTTTTGTCCTTTGCGAGTGCTACGCACTTTGAAAGAGCCGTTTGAAGTTTTCAAGGCCGGCAACCTTTGGAGTCCTGATTTAGATAGCGTGGATCGAAATGCCGCGACTGCTCAGCTTTGCAAACTCAATGCACTGTTCGATTAGCCGGTGAGAGTCATTAGGATCCTCAGTGTTATTACAATGGACCCACTTGGGGCCTAGGTGAGATGATACCCGGCAGCCACTTCAACCAACCTACCAACCACGTAGTGATGTCTTATTTAAACCAAGCTTTCCGGAGAAAATCGTACCAATGGTGTCATTGGACCACATTCCGAACGTGGCAGTCCCTCTTTTAAGGCGCATAGATTTTCCGCGGTAGAATTCCGTTTGTTAATGCATTTGCCGAGGTGATAATTAGCTTCAGCGAAAATATAAAGCAATAAAATGACTCAACTTCTGCTTATAGATCGATTGAAATCGTATCATATTAGCTTTTGAGCCAACTTGACCTTATAAGCCTTCATACCGAGGTCTATTCTGTTGTACAATCTCTGAATATTTAGAATGGCAGTTGCCTCACCCAAATACTTCATATGACTTTAAGCTAATCCTTTCTCTACAACTCATTGTTTATGCCTTACCAGCTTCAGCCAGAAGAGTAGATTAGTAAAACCGCGCGTGATAGCGCAAAACTGGCCAGAAACAATTTCCAAAATACCGTAGTTTACTCAGTTTCACGCTGTTTATTATCTACTTATAGTTTTGCCATCACGAGTAGTAAATACTTAGAAGATATCGTTCACAGTTCCCTCTTCCCTCTTCCGATCTGAACCTATTATGTTTTACTGTTACTTCGTGAAAGTAAATTTTTACGAGTTTTTATGACTTTCGAATTTGCACAAATACAAAGTTTGATGTCAAGACTCTATCCCATAATATATTTGGGCGAAACATTTTTTCTTTGCGTCTGCCAATAATAACAATTATCGGCCCAGAACTGTTGACGAGGATAACCCAGCACAGTTGGCATATCTGAAAGCAATACTAGACGCATCTGTGAGGTATTACTAGGAAAAATTTCACACTCTGACAGGATTTTTGAGCCACTTTGAGATGGAAGATGCAATAGGGTTAGTCATTGTAGGAATGTTTCAGGATTTTGTTGACTGCCAAGGCATAAAATATTATGGCTTTCGTAATATTATTTCACAAAGGGAAACAAGGTATCAAATGGTAGGGCCACGCTCCGAATACGCGCTGCTAACAAGTCTGCTTACGCAACTTTAAAAGAATTTCTTCTTCTTTACTTAAATAATAATATTCATATACTATAAGTGATGTAACTTTCCGTGTATAATTCAGAATCACTAATTGACATTATTTCTATTTTTTGCAGATCTACACAAGAAAAACAAGAAAAACCTGGTACCCAAGTCTACAGCCGCAACTAATTGTTCTTTAAGCAACTCCGTGTACGTTAAACAAGTAAAAATTTAAATGACAAGAATTTGCAAGGAGATCCTACCGTTTATATCACCATCATATCGCCCGAGTAATGCCAAAGCCACGACAAAAACGTCACTGGCATTGGCTAAAAACGGGCCAATTATGCTGTCTCACACTCATAGTGACAGCGACATGTATACCACTTTGCAGCGATGTTGTTGCCACTGCTGTTGCTGCTGGCGCGTCGAGCTACTTAACCACTGAAACACACAGCAACTATATGAACAACAAAAACAGCAATAACACTCAAAGTCAACTGCACTCACTACCCGAACAGCAAATTAGTACAAAAGCAACGGAGCTACATAACCCACTAGCAGCGCAAGCAAACAAACAAACCGATACCAACCACAACCTCACACCGCCCACTACAAAACAGACACACACACGCAACTCAAACAAAATTGTTGTAAACTATGAAAGTACACCAAGTGAAAAGGATGTCTTGGTCGACACACAATTCATACAGCATATTAACCGTCCCAACGTCGAGCTTAATTTGCCTATGCTCACAACTGATAGGAGCAGACTCGATGATGTGGTACATAGTACAAAAAAAATTGCAACAACTTACACGCCATATTTAGTAGTCGACGACAGCCGGCAAAGATATAGTGAAACACAGACGGCGGAGAAAATAAACTTCAGTCGCAGCTCGACAAGAGTCTCAGCCAATTGGCCTCAAAACAATTTGAAGGTTAATCAAGTGTTCGAAAGTCAACGTCGCATGACGTCGGCAGAAATTAAACGCAACAGCCGACGTATTGTTTTGCTAGGCCTATTCGAGCTATCGAATAGGCTGGGTCAACGTTTGGATGGCTGGAGTGAGTTGAGTGCGGCACAGATGGCTGTGGAGCATATCAATAGGAAGAGAATATTACCTGACTACACGTTGGAGTTGTTGACCAACGACACACAGGTGAGTAAAATGTCAGACCACATACGTGCAAGTATATAAATAAATGTATGTATTTATTTCAACAGCAAGGAATTTGAATTTATTCACTATAATAGAACTATATAATGGCAACATAAGCAAATATAGGTCACCAATTTCATGCTACCTTTCAATTTTCTTCAAGTAAGAACTGGTTTAGTCTATCATTGCCTTTTTTATAGCATTCCAGTCTTCCTTGGTAGCCAAAATTGAAGAAACTTATTCTCTCCAACCATCTCATTGTCCTAGGGTGGGGGCCTAAATAGCCAATATGTTACAAGTTGATGAAGTAGCTTGATCTAATTGACTCATTCTCTTGTATGTCCCTTTAAGAAGTGGTCAGTTGTAATGCTAATGTAATGTCCGACTATTATTTTCTCTTCAAAATCTTACTAAATCTGTCCGGTTAACCTGCATACAGTTCACCCCGCCATAAGCTGTTGAGCCTACTGGTGAAGGGAAAAATTAGGTATGTTCCTCTTCAGCTAACTTGACGTCATCACAATTCTATGGGATATTTTTATGCCCGGGGACCCAAGAAACGAACATTTCGCTTACAGAATTAATAACTTCTTAGCTGAAATATATTCGTTACTTCGATTTGGACTGTAACCATTCATTACAACTCAAATAGTGTTCCAAGATATACTTGCTGTGGTCTTCTGTAGTCATCGTGACTTAATAGTAGGTAATATATTTTTGGAGCAATCTTTTATTTGATGGGTTCCATGTGCAGACGCTGCAATAAGGCGACCTTTCTATCAACCGTGACCCAAGGGTCCTTGAATTTTGTTGCTCACGTAAACAGTAGGAATTGAGAATGACCTTGCCTGCAACGACAATCACAGAAGCCAGACTTCACCCCGTTCTACATTTTGTTACATATCTTGAAATCTTAATTCGTGGGATACACCGTAGACGTGTCGGTGGTTAGCTTATCAATAAAAATTAACATCAATTATTTACGGATAAATATCTCTTGCCATCAGCACGTTCACGACTTGGCTGACACGTCTATATTGACGGTCATGAGTCGTAGAAAATTTCGAATAATAAGGACCAGTAAATCCCCTTACAGTTTGAATAACTGCGATACAATGCCAAAAGCGAATATCGCAAATATCACTCTACGAGACTTACGGCGAAATCGTAAGAGTCCTGCTGGTTGAGTCATTCAAAGCAGTATCTGCTATAACAAGCAGAAAAAGTGACCTTGCTCTTTCCGATAGAATAATTGATATTTTCCAACAAGATGTCAAGATAGATAATATGAAGAATATTCACTGCGACTTTGGATCTATTGTGGCCTCCATGTTTGTGATAACACTTCGATTAGCCTAGTGTATCTACAGCGTTCCCTTATTCTTTTTGCCTACTTTTCGCTACTGCTTTGCATTCCCTTATCAGATGTACTGGTGCTTCTGGTTCTATGTTTCAATACTGACAGAGGCATATGGACTACGCCACATTATGCTATGAACATTTCCATCGCAGCCTATTACTAAGCCCCTACCACCAGATTCTGGTTGTCAATTCTGACTCTTTTAGGTCCATGGTTCTAGCGTCAAAGCCAGATTCCAAGACTATACGCCCTGAGATGACTACCGAAGCAATACTTACTTTCAAAATAGCAGAAATCTATTGATCAAAACGGTGCATATAACCACCATAAATCGAATAATTCCAGCTACGATATATAAAGCCTTCAATTTAAGGATATTCAAAGCAACTTTTCCTTTAAATATCGGTGATTTCGTTGGTTGTGTGGCACTTAGCGGCTTCTTGTTGAAAAAAGCGGTATCCAGATCAATACCATACAAATCTGGCCATTAAAAACATTAATCATCTCTCGACAGCACAATCCATTTGTTTTCGAAAGCGTTAGGTCCAATGGCACTGCCGGCTCATCAACCGCGCCAACTATAAATCTTTGGTTTTCCAAGACCCAGATACGACAGTTTTGCTTATTGACCTAGACATTGAGGTTGAAATGGGCGTCATCAGGCAAGATGATTTTTCGATGAAATTTTTAATATCAATTTTAATCAGTTTAATGTGTTGTTGAAGCATTCTTTACAGCTTTAAAAGTGGCATCTATTCAAAAGAACACCTCATCTGGGAAAACGCTTTTTATGAAATTTGGATTGAAAGCAATATAGACAGCAAAAATAAATCTCTATAACAATTCCTTTGGGTCACTTTGAAATTTCCAAGATAATCGGCCTAAAATCCAATCACTCAATGTGATTGATGTAATTCACCGTTATAGCAAACAACATCAAAAGCGTCGTCCTCTGAGAAGCAAACAAAGCGAATATTTACTTAGATATAAGTGCACATGTGTATATATGTACGTGTATGCATTGCGAATATAACGGTACCCGGCTAAGATTTCTTTACCGCATATTTAGCACTCATTTGTTAATGTCTTTACAATTAAGAAGATATGAGAGCTCCTAAATATACTGACGCATACAAACATAAAATTGATGCTTTGTAACCACTGAAGCGATTTGCGGCCGAGCTCCTCCTCCAATTTGTGGTTTTGCGTCTTGGTGTTTTTTTCCAACTTACCTAACTACTAAATCGCCCCCGAACGGCTGATGGTTTTTTATGAGGAGCCATTATTTCATGTCAGAAATACACTGGAGGGCAATTAGAAAATTATAACTTAATTTTTTATTTAAATTAATTTTCTTTAACTTTTGGATGTTAGTCATACCAGGATTCGAACCCTGGCCTTCCGAATGACAATATGTAATCCTAACTACTCAGCTACCGCGGCCGCCATATAAACATACTCCCCGATAAATATAGCGACATTTTCGTTAGATCATTTACGACAAACTTTTAATGCGTTAACCAAATTAAACGCTTAATTATGAAAACGCTTAAATGGGCGAAGGAGTAAAGGAAGAATCGAGTGCGTTGAGGGAAGAAAAGTGTACTTGGTAGTTATGTATGAGTGAGTACATTGATGTGACAAATTGAAGAAACGTTGGTTAGATTATGTGAAAGCTTTTATGAATTGTACGAGGTAGACGGAAATGTCTGAAAGGGCACTCGCAGTGGAAATGGAGGAAATCTTTATACCCTGTGGGGTCTCAGCAGTGTCGTAGTGAAGACTAATTTTGCTTGCTTTATTGCCTGGCTTAGCACCAATTTGCCAAACAAAGGTCAGGGTCCGAGCTCTGGTCCTTATAATATATAAAATTATAGAAAATTCTATTTTTCTAATTGCGGTCGCCCATCGGCACGGAATGGAATTCTTCCGAATGTATTTCTGATATGAAATAAAATCTTTTTATTGAAATCCATCGGCGCTTAGCCGCGGCTTAGAATGAACTGTATGTCACACCAATTGTTGATAAAACGTTAAAACGCATACCATCAATTGGATCAGAACCTCGGCCGAAATTCGGTTATAAAACACCAAAAATAAATATACATACAAGTATATATGTAGACTTTTTTTATGCGAGTTAGGTTGATTAATTAAAAACGACTGCTTAGTTCAAGAGCTCAAGAGTCTAAAGGAAAGTGTTAACTTTTATTCTTACCGTTTAAGCACAAAAAGGAATGCTTAATAATAAAGAGTTGCATTCTGATCGTATTATATAAAGATCATTTTGGTTATGCCACATATATATACCAATGATTTGGACAGAACAAAAGCTTTACGTTATTTATATCTGATTCAAGTCCTTTATCTGCTATCCAAACTTGTCTTCAGTGACCTCCAAATCGATCAGCAAAACTGGGTTCTAGTGAGAAATTCGTTCTACGTCAGCGCGATACGGTTCTCAAAATAGGATTTCAAGTTATAAGCCTTAAATGCAAAATTTCTGGAGAGAATATTTGGAAGTCGACAAAGGCGAGAGCTGGTTAATGATATAACCCTTTAACCAAAATGTATAAATAGGAAAAACTTGCTTGGCAATGTTTAGGAAATATTATTCAGAGTTTTCTTGGAAATCATCAATCACGAAACAATTATTTTAAATATTAACAAATGCACTTATAAGAAGCTTTAGGGTGTTTCATGTCTTTAAAAATACATATACTGTACTCTTGGTTTACGTTTCGATTTCTTTCCATCAATTTGAGTACTCTGGTGGCGTGCAAGGTGTGGAACCTTTCGCCAAGACATTCCCTAAGTGGAAACACGTTAGCAAAGGACATAGAGTCCAGAAATAAAAAAGATTATTTTTGAATACCTAGAATCGCTCTACCAAAAACCAAAAACTTACGACCGTCCCAGTATTGTATTTATTATAAGTTAAATCCTTATACAAAAGAGGAAGGTAGTTTCAATCAATATAAAATTGACAGATTTTTTAAAAAATATATCTTGTTATCATTTTAACTTCAAAATTATGCCACTTTAAAATTATTTCATAATTTTTTTATAAAAAGATAGATTTTAGAAAATGCCATGCAAAGCCTTTGAGTTTTTGTGAGTACGTTTTATTCTTCTTTATTTTCTTGCTTCCATGAAAGGTTTTGCGTTTTTTGTTATATATTTTTTATTTTAAAAATTTGAAAAATTACTTAAAAAAAATTAAACTGATAGCACAATATAAAAACAAAATTCAAAAAATTTATTAATATTAAATGGTTAATATTTTTGAAGAAAATTTTTAGTGAAACCAACTTGTTTTTTGTATCATGAGTTAAACAATAAACATTATTCTGAGTATTAGTTTTTGTATTTTTTCTGAAAGTTGATGTTTTGATGTCAGACTAAAACCTGATGTCTGCTTTTTTCGCTGATATACTATTGATTGGTGGCCCTTATACTGACTCAAACTTTTATATAAAAATAAAATTTTGTCTACCATTACTATTTGAGAAACAGCTGATTTGCGAGATAATCAGCTGTAAAAATTGCCGTGAAAAGTCTTAAAAAATATTTCTTCAAAATTTATTGGATAGTGTGATTGCCATATTAGTACTACTTCCTTTGGCGACTAAGTAAGATTAAAACAAATCTCGTATAGGCCAGCCGTGATTCATTCGCGCCTCTTGTAATTTAATAATAATAATAATAATATCAAAATCAAAATTCAGCTCTTATCGACCGGTATAAAAAAAAGTACACCAGTCAAATCACTCTCTGGTCATAGATAACCAAATTTTTCAAACCCAAATAATTATTTCCATATATGACTGCCTAAATTCAACACATTGCGGTACAAATTGAAGCTGAGCAAAATCTCAGTCAAGCTGCTGCTTAAACGCAATTTGTGCGTGCACAATTTTGTATTAATATCCGCGCTTGAATATGTTTGTAATCGGTCGCTAATATAAGTGTTTTATGTGTACAACATATATATATGACTACATATGTAAGAATATGTTAAATTGTTGTAAAAGCAAAACTTTGCCACAAATTTCGGAACTCAACGCTGGCGCAGATGGCGTGTGCGCCCTAAGGAACTATAAATGTACTCACACCACTTATAGGCATGCTTAAGCATATATTACACATATGTTGTGTATATATGTATATGTCGGTAGTTTCTTTATATGTCTGCTCTTGTATATGTGCAAATCTCTATAAAATATTCATGTATACAGCGTGTGTGATATATCTCGCAGCATCTTGTAGAGTAATTTTTAATGAAGTTTGCCCACTTAGTACGTGGCGTATGGAAGATAACTAGCTGTAGTTGTGGAAAGCAGCGTTATCGCTTTATACCATTTTTGAGCGTAGTTCAATTCAATTTTCACCTAATTTAAGTTGTTTGGAGTCAATCTTCAGTCAGTCAGTCTTCATAAGTAAATTAGCTGAGTTTACAAGCCAAACCCGATTTTTATCTAAAAACGCATACTACAATTGTCAGTTTTCTATATTATACATATATATGTATAAAACATTACTCAGTGGATTTATTTCCATTGTCATGCAGAGATTGAGAAATAGAAGCTAAGCATTGCCCTATTTTAAGTTTTGAATTTCAATAAAGATTATTTTTCTAAATTTTTTTTAACAAGCAGTTTCAATGTGCATCAATGAGTCACTATGCCCATAGAACAGACCAAATAGTGACTTTTTGAGTATGAAATGGCACCCCAACAATGGCTTGCAGATAACCATCACCCCAAATTTTGTTTACTAACCTACCCATCCCTCCAGAAGTACGCTTCACTGCTGAACAAAATTTGTTTGCTGCAAATCGAGGTCAGTGGCCATCTCGTTTGAGGCATATTAACCGAACGTACGACGAGTTTAATGGACGTTGGGAATATCAAGCACGAGTTGGATTTTGTATGCCCGCAAGCCTTCTGCAAAATCTTCTATAAAAAAGGATGAACTCATTCGGGTCTTCGAAGATACTCTGCTCCACAGCATTAAAAGCATCTTCGATACGCACTGTACGACGAGGATCCGCATTACTCACTGAATTCACTAGAGTCAACTTGATACGTGAAAGTTTCATGGTAGCTCGAAGCAATTATGTCGATCGAATGTTGGACGCAGCGAAAGGTGAAGTGAACCATGAATTTGGTAATAAATTTTGCACGATATGATAACGTTGTTTGAGTCTGTTCAAATAACAGCTGTCAAATGGACCAACTTCGTGAGAGGTATTGGCTCATTGAAATCTATACAAAAAATCTAAAAAAAAACCCTCTACATAATATAAAGATTTTGTCCTCGCGTGACTGCCGGATGATTGTCATCTAGAATTTATTAACGGGAATAGTAGGAACAGCTTTTGTATAGATTCTAATTTATCACAATTCAATTAATAAATCGGTCTCCATAAAATTCAGTCATTTTCAAAAATTGCCCTAACAAGTGAAATAAAGAGTAATTTGTTAATGTATGGGTCATTGCTGGGAGACCTTTTAGCTGCAAAATGTATATAATTTCAAAAAGAATTTTCGAAGGTAGCGACCTGGAACCGAAAATCGAATTTATTTATAAGTTCGGTTTACATGAAAATCAGTGCAGAGGTAGTTTTTTGCTTAATTGATATGGTGAATACTTTTTCCTCCGAGAAGCGGATCTCTAATCGCCTAACTTGATATCGGAAAGGCTTTTGCTGCCAGGAACTGGGCCTGGCAGGGTTTCAATGATTCGGTTTGCTAAATATGGGAAGCATATATAAGTGTCTTTATTCCAGCGTTAATTTTTGGACAACCTTATACCCCGGAAGTGCACCCAATAAGATTGCTCTTTGCGTATATCAATGTGTGTAGGAATTTTAATTCTGTGACCAATTTATGTAAATGAAAGATGTTTATTGTTGGATTTGTAGCATGGCAAATATGTATGCGGGTTTTTTCTTTCTATTTTTAAAAACCTAATAAAAATCTTATTAGCACCACATGAAAGTTCACTCTAGTATATTAATAAAAAAATTGCAAATATATATATGTAAAAGGCTTTGCCCTGAATCACTGACGGATCAAACCGCCAAAACCACTGAACGTCGAAAGTCGAAGCTTAGAGGGTGTGTTTTGCATATGACGTTGTCATTCAGTAGGGAACGATTTTTCTGGAAGTGGCCTTGTGCTCAGCCCATTTGAAAAACTTAATTTATTTTGAAATCATTCGATTTATATGGAATTTTACTCATTTTTCGGTTTTGGCCTAAGTCGAGATATGTATGTATTTTCCCCACCGTAAAGTTGTCGAGATAATTAAATTTATGAATGATTTCTCCTAGGTTTGTGGAACATAAGTGAATGACTTTTTGGGAAATTTTTTTCCGAATAATAGAACATTGAAAACACAAGTTCGATGGATTGCTTTTTGTATTAAAGAAAAAAAATATTTTATTAATATTTAAAGATTTTAACATCCTAATTTAGTTAAATATTAAAACTAAATAACTTAAACAATCAATTGGAAATTTTTTACTTATAAGAACCACTTTTCAATTAAAAAAATCTAATCTAGTAGTGTATAGAAGGTTTGGCGTGATTCTTCATCATTTCTGGATATAATAAATTCGTATAATAAAGGAAAAGACTGCGATTTTTTTTCTTTTTTTGTAATCTAAATTGCATGAGAACTACAAATACGAATGTTTTGAAAAAAAAAACCTCTGTAATTTAATGTTTTTTCTTACCCATAATACAACTGTGAGCTAATGGAAGTGAGCTGTTATTAAATACACCTTTAATTTGTCACATTAAGTATTTAAAATATTATTTTACCGTTTCATGTTCACAAGAGGTATAAAAATATATATATATACATACAACACATTTATTTACTATTATATATGTATATTAAACCATACTCCTCGGTCTATACATTTGGTTACGTATACGCCCCGCATGGCGATAATCAATTTCATATACGCACACGCTATCACCGCATATTATACATATGTACATGCATTTCTTTAGTTTGGATATAAAACTTGTATTAGCCTCTTTAAGACATTCTATTTAATACATATTACTTACAGTGTTACCCACAAACATACATATAATAACACAACCAGCTGCGAATACTTACAATTATATTCATTTATTAAACATATTATTTGTATATACTACGTATGTATATAGCAACCTTTACAATTTGTAATCCGCTTTATAAATGTTTGTATTTCATTTGCCTTTGCCTTTTCCGTCTGGCTGCTCATTCATCTGGGTACAGTGTGATCCCGGTGTTGGAGTTGATCGATTTTTTCATGCCATCTACACGCAACCAGACACACGAATGATTATGCTGTTGGGCTCCGCCTGCTCGGAGGTGACTGAAAGTTTAGCCAAAGTCGTGCCGCATTGGAGTATTGTGCAGGTAACTATTACTTTAGTGGTTTACACATATGTATGGGTGTAGGTGGTGGTGTAAATTTGACAGGAATTTATCATTAAATTATTCATTTATATCCATGTTTTTGCAGTTGAGGTAAATTTGATACTAAAAACTTTTTTGATAAATGATATCTGCTAATCAAACTTTAAATTCGAGTATAATTAATCCTCGATTGGAAGCAGTTGAATGAGTGGTCATAAATTATTATTTTAGTATATATAGTATTGTATTATTTTAGATACTTGGCTTCTTTAAGCGAATATTCTTCAAATCAATATAAGTAAGCTCTCCTGGAAGCGAAAAAAAAATAAAGACAAACTTTTTGTGACTTAAAAGCAAAAAGAGTAAAAAATTAATTATCCCAAAATGCATGAAAACCACAGAAATATCAAAAAAAAAAAAGCAAATCATGCAAAAACATTCTTACTAATAAATTTGACCCAATAACATTTTATATTCTAAATAAAAATAACAAAAAAGTTTAAGAAAGGACATTTGCACATTTTCATCATATTCATAGGAGCTTACCACATCGCAGCTAGCGCACCTTCTCATGTCAATTTATATAAATGTGTCATGCCCCTTATATGTACATATAAATAGGTTTATAAATGTTTGCCCTTCGACCGTTATTTATCTATGTATACCCACAGGTTTCATTTGGTTCCACTTCACCAGCCCTCAGCGACCGCAAGGAATTTCCCAATTTTTATCGCACCGTCGCACCAGACTCATCACATAATCCTGCGCGTATTGCTTTTATACGCTTCTTCGGCTGGGATACTGTCACTACGTTCTCACAGAATGAAGAAGTCCATTCGTTGGCTGTCAATGATTTAGTAACTGAATTGGAGGCGGCGAACATATCTTGTGCGGCAACGATTACATTTGCAGCGACAGATTTCAAGGAGCAATTACTGCTGCTGAGAGTAGGTGGAATTACATATATGCAAAAAATGTACATATTCATACACAAACATGCTATTTCTGAATTGTATATATTACAGCCTCTGAGCTATGATCTTATATTTATGTAACACTTTGTATTATATATATATATATTTCACTTGTTAAAGTTTCCTTTTAAATGCATATAACTATTTTATTTTATTTTATTTTATTTTATTTTATTTTATTTTATTTTATTTTATTTTATTTTATTTTATTTTATTTTTTTTATTTTTATTTTATTTTATTTTATTTTATTTTATTTTATTTTATTTTATTTTATTTTATTTTATTATTTATTTCATCATCATATCATTTTACTTTTTTCTGCACTATATAGATAAATGCAAACATACAATTCGCTTTTATACACTTACCGACATTGAATTCATTTATTGTTCGCATTCATCAATTTCGCCCAATATGCCGACCACATTCCCCATCTCTTGCCTCATGTATCGACTATCTGCCCATGTTACCCGCTGACAACATGCCAATTGCCAACAAACGATGTCTTCATATTCGCATAGGAAACGGATACACGCATTATTATCGGCAGCTTTTCCCAGGATTTAGCGCCACAAGTGCTTTGTGAAGCATTTCGTCTACGCATGTTTGGAGCGGATTATGCCTGGATATTACATGAGAGTATGGGCGCACCATGGTGGGGTGATATATCGGCCACTGGCACCGACTGTACGGCGAAAGAATTACAGGATGCGGTCGAGAATTTGATTATCATTGCCAGTCACAACAGGATTGTGGGGAATAAGACCGGCTACAGTGGATTGGTAAGTCGATTACAGCAACAAAAGCAATATAAAAAATAGTAGCTCTATTTAGTGCAAAATACAAAAAAAAGAAACAGAAAAGAAAATAAACAGGTTTATTGCACTGAGTGTAGGTGTGAAGGTCGACAAGCACTCGATGTACTCGTATATATATAAATATTCGACTTATTGTGGCCTGAGAACGCCATTGAGCGCATTTGTTTGCTTTTACTTGCCTATAAATTTTATTTATGTAACTATGTATAGATTTAGGAGACAGTGCACATATATATAAATATGTAGTAATATAAATTGATATATATATATGTATGTAGGTATGTATATATGCCTCTTAGAGTTATGTGCTTTGTCGTGTGCATTATTATTTGTTTGGTTGTTTACATTGTGGCAGATTGCCCAACGACTTTGCCGCCACGGAAAATGATTTATTTGATTGGACAATTTGGTGATGACTGATGGATTTGTGCTAAATGAGAATTGGAATTTGGTTTGTATTTATTTAAGAATGAAATAAATTTGGTCAAAGGAAATAAATTTTCGCATTAAATTTATTTAAGCTGCTGACGAATTGTATTAAAATAAATAAAGAATGCAAAAATGAATTATAAATTGTATGCAATTTCACAGAACTGAGCACATTGGATATATGACAAGTTTCGGAAGTTTCTACTACTCATGCATATCTGAATAACCATCAATCAATAAATAGGAAAATCAAATCTAAATTTGCTTCGTTTACTAAGCAGAGGAAATCGGTGTAGAAAATATAAATATATTTGCCAGATGTTTTTGATATGGAGGTACTTCCTTTTTAAGGATAAATTACATTGTCTATAGAATTCAGATACCTCAGAGAGTATCTTTAATAACCTTCACTGGTCTCACAAAAACATTAAGAAAACATTGCGTCTATCCAGAACTGCAATAAATATTCAGATCCCTGATACCACCTCAAAAACTGTATAAACATGGAGTACATCGGCGACATGCCGCTTTACTCTCAAACTCTAAGCTTTCATCATAATCACTGCTCTAAGGATGCTCTGTCGCTTTTGTTTTTGGAAAACCGTAGCCCGCCTTGAAAATAGTTAGTAAAATAGTTTAGTATAGCGGCAAGTTCATGGGATGGAGTCCTGACCCGACCAACATTCAAATTATAGAAAATAATTTAAATATAAAAATTAACTTGAAATTTCTATTTGCCGGCACGCCTCGGCTGATTCATAAATGGGTGTTTATTCCTCCGACAGTATTTCTAAAATTGATTAATGTCTCCCAAAATGACAGTAAAATTGCCCGTATCGGTGTAAGGTTAGTTTAAGTTACACTGGGGGGCTTCCACGCCTTACATTTATCTGTTTGTGTATTTTTTGCGTCAGATGAAGATTCAATCCAATTTCAAGAATAGTAGTCATCATATAAAATATCTACACTTTCTACGAAGTTTAATGGCAAAGCTCCTAGATGTTTGAGATCAATATGATATTTTGATATATGGCGACGGGAGAATGTAGGATTTCACTAAGTCTTCACTCATTCTGCAGTCGTTTCAAGACCAAGTTAGCAAACACTGGTTGTGTCTGTCTTCACTGTCTTTAAGCACGATTTTGAGAATATCTTAGGTTGTTACGCCATTCCGTCTTGCCGTAATCCATTTTCCTGTATGGGAAAATATTACATCTCATTCTCAATAGATTCTAAATTGATAAGGGTGTAGCCAGGGTATACGAAAAATCTGATGTGTTAGTTTATCCAGAGTGGGCCTTTACTAACCGCTGACGTATACGAACTGCTCATTTTCTTTGTGGGTGTTCAGCACCCTCACATATTCGATATATACATTTGGAATCCATGGGGCACCCAACCTCGAATGTCTCTCCACAAAAAACATATCAGATATAAGCAGTTTATCAGCGCTCCAGCCTACGTCTCTACTTATCTCAGCAGCTTTATTATATTAAATCAAATCCTGCTCAAAAATCCTATAGTGAGTCGACAACTTAAAGGGTTTCCTAAGGTTCAGCTCTGTTGAATAGATCCCGGCCCCCCATCAGTCATTGTTTATCCATCAGTATAAATATTGTAAGCTCTGTTGACAGACTGTACGTTTTTGTGACATCCACGATTTTATTGGAATGTACTAAAATCATCTCTCTCAGATTTAGTGTGGACGTATGTCTTGTCTATTTTGTCTAACTCCCTCCTCGTTTTACCAGCCATGCCCGAAGGCTTTGGCCGAGAGTTCACCGAAACCCCCAATGTTACAGCGAAGATCCCTGAAGGGATTTTGCAAGGCAACGCAGATTAGCTTCCATTGGGTCGAGAAACATTTCAAGTGGTTTTAAGTGTACACGTTACACAGAGTGGAAAAAGTCGATTTCGCTTTCCGATGACTTTCAATATAATAAATATATTATTTCAATTAAACTGTATTCAAAAAAAAATTGTTTTCTCCACCAACCTTTTAACTAAACATCAACCTTTTCAATACAATCTTCTCATCCACATAGAACAATGAGATGTTCCTTACTGAATTACGTCGAAGATCTGGCGGCATACTTGAAAATCGCAACGTCGGCAAAAAGCGAAAACCAAAGGCGGTCACAAGCAAGGCAACGCATTCATTAGCAGACAAAGCGCTAAACACAAACAACCTGCCCACCCTGAATACCTTGTCGACTGTGTCGACTTATGCGCCACAAACGTACGATGCCGTTTGGGCAATCGCCTTAGCATTGCGAGCTGCAGAGGAGCGTTGGCAAAAGTTGGGTATGCAATCAAAACTCAATCAATTCGATTATGTGCGAGCGGATATGGCACGGGAATTCCTTCAACAGATGGCTAAATTGGAATTTTTGGGAGTTTCGGTAAGTGTGGTGGGGGAGAGTACGTTAGGTGGTTTATTTTGGTTTGTACGTTTTGCAACAATAACATTAGATAGTTATAGTAACAATAGATGATGTGCTTATACAAATCTTATAATTATTAAAAAGTATTTCGCTTACTTTTTTATGTATTTTTTTCTTCTTTCCCTCTATTATAATCTTCGACTCCACACAAAGGGTCCAGTTTCATTCAGTGGCCCAGATCGTATCGGCACCACCGCCTTCTATCAAATACAAAACGGCACACTCGCACTCGTGGCACTCTACTATCCAGCCGCTGGAACTTTAGATTTCCACTGCCCACACTGCCGTTCTGTACGCTGGCATACCGGTCAAGTGCCCATCGCCAAGCGGATATTCAAAATGCGCGTCGCCACCATTGCAACGAGCGCCTTCTACACGGTAGCCACACTCTCGGTCGTTGGCATCGTATTAGCCATAGCTTTTCTCGCTTTTACCTTGCACTTTCGGAAGATGAAGTGAGTAGCGCAAATGGTGATTTAAAGTGTTTTACTCGTAACTGTTTCAAAAACTAAAAAAAAAATAAAACTGAAATGAAGTGTAGAGAGCTCAGCAAAATCGAAAAGATGAGAGTGAAGGTTAAATTGCCATTAAAGCGTTGGACATGAGTGTCCATTAGAAGAGCTTTGCCGATCTCTTTACGTTTGAAGTGTTGCTCTGTAAATTTGAAATATTTCATTTTCGGTTTTTTCCTCTTTTTCCACCTCTTCTTCTTGCACTTTATTTACTCACATTTAGAGCAATTAAGCTTTCAAGTCCGAAATTGAGTAATATTTCTGCAGTTGGTTGTGTTTGTGTGTATGTTGCTGTAATTTTGCTCGGACTGGACTATTCTACGCTGCCCACGCCGGAAACTTCCTATTCGAACGTTTGCACGGTAAGTACAGTTATTTGAAATTAGTATTGAAATATATATTTGTAATTGCTCGTTTCCAAATAATTCTCAAGTCTAGTAACACGTTCAGTTTTATACAATTTTAGTTTTTACTTATACATACATACATATATTTAAATAATCTCTTGAAATCAAAAGTGAATCACTAAATCTGTGAGTGACTTAATCAACGATCTCCTCAGTAGATGGTTGAAAAAACAGTCTACTCCTTCCTTTTGCAGAGTCTAGTCTGTCTCGGGAGAGTGTTCGTATTAGAAGGGGCAAAAGGGAGAGGTATAGCTTTTGTACGAGAAGGGAGAGTTATGCTGCGGATTGCTCCCTCGAACCGTAGAAGTCTACCTATAAAGGGTACTGATTCCGAAACAGCCTGACGGCTTGAAGAGCTAGTAGCATTAAGCGACGTAACGTGTTGTTGCCCAGCTAGGCTTTTAAAAACCAGAACAGGTCTTTAGATCACTCCCGTCATTGTTTCTAACAAGTAGTCGAATAGTAAAGTTGCCTTTGGCATATGAAGCAGGAATATTCCATCCGACTAGGTTCGATAGTATCTCACACTCTATACAGTGTGTAAGATTCTACCGACAGCCCTCATCAAGGTCTATAATGAACTCATCTTGGCACAAGCTGAGGTAAACTTGGCTGAAATGGGATTAGAAAAAGTTGTACTTTCTGAAAATAATAGAAATTTCAAAGGCAATTGGGATCTTGGTGATGAATCCAAGCATAAGGCAAGGTGCATAGAAGTAATGGCAGCTTTAAGAAGCTGCTTTACAAGAGCTATAGAAATGCTGATGAGAAGCACATGGTTTTTACGCCTTTTTGTGATTGCTCTGCTCTAAGCAGACGTAGACGTTAAATCGTTATATTAGCCTGCCGTGGCTCAGATGTTAGAGTAAGCGTAAAATTTATCATACGAAAATCTTAGTTGGATGCTCGTGCTTTATGGTTGCCGTCAGTTTCACCATAAAAAATTAGAAATTTTTTCAATTTACTCTTTCTATTCTTAGAATTAATCCATTTTTCAATGTAGGAGACTCCCTGGCACGCGGGTTTGTTGAAAGTAAGTTTTTTATAGATAACCTTACCTTCCTTCCCAACAATTCTTGATAGCGTAAAAAGTCGCTTTACTTTTGGCTGCCTTGATCCTTAAGACATTGTTTCAGTAAGTATTTTCTTTCTTTCATTCTCTCATGAATGCAATAAAATGTTCTTGTACAGATCTCGAACTAACTGATTGAGCCAAGTCACCCATGAAAGAGCCAAAAGCTACTCTCCTGTAGTTTTCCAGCGAAGCAAAGAAAAACTGATCCAACTGTTCGAGTAGAGAGTATGGTCCATTCCCTAGAAATCCACCAAACTAAACCCTTTAAACAAAATTTTTCATTACAATGGCTTCACAGAAACATTAATCTTTCCAGTCTTTTGACAGGAATTTCACACCGAATAGGGATTTTCGCCCCGAGAACTTTATTTACCAACAAACTTAGTTTAATGAGATAAGAGTACATAGATTTCTGAAAACCACCAGGAGTAAGGAGGAAGTATTTAACAGTGCACCATTTTAATATTTCATTGTAAGACCTGCTATCACTTTTCATCCTTAAATTCAATCCTGCGGCGATTCGGCGACGCTGAGTAGGTCATGTTGTCTGGTGGCATGAGAACACTTTGCGTCGAATACTTCGATACAAAACCGCCGAAGAAAGCATAGGACGTGAAACACCAGGATAGACTTAACTTCACTTGGTATATCTAAATATGCGCCAAACGGTGGAAAAACAAGCCACTGATTGCTGTACCAAAATAGAAAAGAAAGACCTACAAGACATGGCATGTTCTTTCATACTTGGGATAACTCCGTTATGTCGCTGTGTCATCGTACAATTGAATATGGATTTCTATCTCTTCAGTGCGATTTTTTCGAGACACAAGCGAAACTCTCTTCTGATTGTTCCTACCCTACTTGGCGCGGGTTAGGTATCTCGCCATGTTTATGTTTTTTGTTATAACAACAAAGCCTCTCTCTAAGCTCGAAAGCGTAACCTGCGGAACCTTTAAGAAGAAAATTTTTATAGGAGTTTCTAAAACATGATTTGGTGTCTTCGGTTTCGCCTGCCCAAGCTGCTCTATATTGAATCCGTTTATTTTCCTACTATTACCTTATTACTGACCGTCAAATCAAGGTTTCATCTGACTATATTTTGTTGACGACACCAGTTCTAGCTAAGCATTCTATTGCCAGTGTAATATGCCTTCTCTATTCGTCTAGTAGTTGAGTTTTGTATCGATCCCTTTCCCAGATATTCGGATATAGGGGAGAGAGCAATTTCAGTTCCGTAGGTTTCATTTATGAACAGTAAGACGGAAAAGCAAAACTAGATCGTCTGTTCATGGTAGTACTTTCCTTAGATTCCGTTGAGTTCGATTAGCATTTCGTTCAGCGCCATTACCTGAAGAAGCTTGAACAAAATACCGCCTACTTGAAAGTTTAGGTTTAATCCTGACATGAAAGAAGATTTCAATAATGTTTGTATATACTACTGTGAGCAAAAAGTAAGGTGAGTTTTGAATTTGAGCTTCGCGTTTTAATATTTCGGATTAATTTTTTTTAATGTTGCTAGCACAGTTATTGACATCTACGCCAAATTTCATGTCCATGTCATCATTGGTATTTTAGTTACGCTTAGGTTTACTAAATGACTAAAAGTACCTTCGGCGATTCTTATGATTCTTATAATGTCTGGTTTCATTGAGCAAAGAAGTGCGATCAAATTTTGTTTTGCGGAACGAATTTTCGGCTGCTGAAACGTTGATGCCACAGAAAGCATTTGGGGACTCAACTAGGTCGGAGAAGAACGTGTATAAGTGGTACAAAGACTTCAAAGAGGGTCGCAACGTGTTGATGACTTCGGGACGACATCAACGTCAACTGATGTACAATACGTCAATGAAATTAAGGGATTAATTACCGATATGGTAAAAATGATTTTCAATTTATTTGTTCAAAAGAAGACTAGAATTATTTATGGGTCAACAATTCTGGGTTTTTTCATTACGATAATGCACCGCAGCGCTCATTCTTAGTGACCATTTCCATAAAAATTGCACGAATATCGTCTCCCAACCACCGTATTTGCCAGACTTAGCACCATGTGGCTTCTGGCTATTCCAAAAACTCAAGAAACCACTTCGAGGACAACGTTTTAAATCGAATGAGGAGATTAAACGTGAATCGTCGCGCTCTCTGAAGGCCATACGAGAACGTGACTACTTAACATGCTTCGATGCGTGGGCATAAGTGCATTGCATAGGCAGGGGACTAAATTGAAGGTGACGAAATCGACGTCAAAGAATAAATAAAGGTTTTTAATTTTAAAAACGAATTTACCTTACTTTTTGCCCACAGTATTATCTTCATCCGTACTGTTTCAATGATTTTGTCTGGCATCATCCGGTACAGGTTTCTACGCAGAAACTAGGCACTCAGATTAAACTTATATTGACAACTCAGGACCCTAATTGTCTTTTTTTGAAAAATAAATCTTGCTGAAGTAATCTCCATGCAAAGTCCGGATCAACATAAAACCGAGTTATTGTTAATTTCCATAATATTTTGGCATGGATTTATGAATCCAGAGGTTGATTGTTTTCCTGAAGTTAGAGAATTTCAGAGGTTCAAAAAGTTCTTTCTAGAGCTCGAGGACGCTTGTCCCTATAAACCTTCATTCTAATAAAATTTATGTAAAACCATAACGAGAGAAATATAATCGGCTTAATTTGCATACAACACACGCACATAAACAGACAGAAAAGAAAACAAAATCGTCACAGACAATCTAAGATTTGAATTTGCATAATTTGAAACAGAAAAAAAAAAGATTGATGTTGTTGCATTTGTTTTTATTGGTTTCTGCTATAATTCGCAATAATTTTATTTAATTTCTCACAACCTATCTCATCTCCCATCCATCTTATTCCGCAGGCACGTGTCTATTTACTTTGCGCTGGCTTCTCCCTGGCCTTCGGTTCGATGTTCGCCAAAACATACCGTGTTCATCGCATTTTCACACGCACCGGCAGTGTGTTCAAGGATAAAATGCTGCAGGATGCTCAGCTAATAATGTTGGTGTGCATATTGTTGGTGGTCGATGCGCTTCTTGTCACCCTCTGGGTATTTGTCGATCCGATGGAAAGGCATTTACACAATTTGACGTTGGAAATTAGCAGCATTGACCGTAGCGTCGTCTATCAGCCACAGGTGAGAGATGAGAAGTTTACATCTTTTGTTTGAATAAACATCTATATACGAGTATGTGTGCACAGACGATTGTTTATGTAAATTAACGACATTTGCTAAACATGCGCAGTAACCAGCAAATATTTCTATGAAACCTTGTCTGGTGTTTTTTCAATACATTACTGGGAAGACAGAGAGAAATGCTTGTAATATGATTGCTTCGGAAGTTCATTACCATGGAAGGTGTAGGAGAATCGATTATATATCACTAACGCATAAAAGTTTAGGACGTGATTTTCTTAAAAGGAGATATTTCTTAGTAGAATAGACAATGAAATTAATTTTAAGGTTATGTAGCTTTCACTTACTTTTAGATAAAGCTGTAATATTAGTAGGCCTTTTTAAAAGAGGCCATTCAACTTTGCCTTCCATCGCAACGCCTTTGAGAAAAAAAAAAAAAATTTAAAGACATATGATGGAGCGATTTATATTAGCGAAATGGGAGGGTTGTGGAAGGTTGAATACGCTCATTAGATAACTAACCTGTTCAGTGACTAATAATTAGTATAAATACGAGATTGCATTGTTATTAGTTTGTCTTTGAGTGATTACCGTATAAAGATACCTACCCAGCAAGAAAAATCTATTGCGACCATAATGAATGAGATGTCATTGGTTAGCGGCGACTCTTGTCCGGGGAAATCCATGATGTACAAATGGCACAGTTTAATTAAACAGTGAAGGGAAGGGAAGAGATAACGGGCAGCAGCAAAAAATTGCCCTAGATGATGTTCGACCAAGAAAAAATAACTCAGAGAAATGTTAGGAATATCCGACAAAACTATGTTAAGAATCCTGAACGATTATCTTGATCTTAGTATAACCAAGACGAGTGCCGAGAACGCTCCAGCTTTCGCAAAATCTACAATTTGTATCCACGTACATTTGTGGACCTTAGAAATGAAAGGAAGGATGGTGTATTGAGTCGAATTGTTACTGATGGTGAAAACAAGACTCCATGCTGAGGCACAGCATCATTCCAGAAGTTTAATGAGTTACAGACCGCACGAAAACTCATCGCGAAATTTTTGGATATCGAAAAGAATTTTATAACTCGCTTGCAAAGCTAAAGGTATTTTTATGACTGGAGAATACCTGCATTATGTGGGCTTCGATATTTTGAATCACACCACCTACGGCATAGACCTCCGAGTGATTGTTACGTGTTTCCAAAAACAGAGCTGAGGGGGAAATAAGTATGGCCGACGATGAAGAGTAAGTTAAGAAAGAGGCCGTAATACTTATGTATGAAGAGCTTGCGAAGTTAGCTGAAAAAGATAATGCTCGAAAATTCTACGAAAAGATACGACGATTAACAAGAAAGTTTCAAGACCAAAATAGACTATTAAAGAACACCCTAGTGGCTGACGCATAGATTATACTGATTTTAAAGAGGGAACACTTCCCCAGTCTACTGAGTGGAAGTAAGACGGTAACACCGGGTGGTGGCAAACCCGATTTCCCAATCGATGACGATGGTAGAAAGGTTTCATTGCCCGACTATTATAGCAATCTCCTGCATAAAAAAAACAATAAAGTGTGCCCTACCCAAAGCACAAATTTGGTATCCCCCGTAAAACTTATATGGCTATGTAAACTGACTTTAAGCAACTCAAAAAGATCCAACCGAATCCAGAAAGACCACTTCGCGGTGTTTCACGGCAAATGCGCCGATGATATTGGCAATTTTAGCCTAAGGAACCGCGCCGTGAGTTCTGCTTTCTCCAGTGGGTACTGAACGAGGACGAGATGAAATAATTTCGTCTATCTTGGAACCAGTATTAGCAATAACAACAACAACGTCAGCTTCGAAATCGAACACATAATCACTCTTGCCAACAGGTGCTACTTTGGACTACCCACTTGACTTTAAACTCTACGAGTTGGGAACGGCGATTGCAGTAGCCGATGGAACGATGAGAACGGCGACATTGACTCAGTTTAGCGAAACGAGAAACAGCGACTTCGCTGTCTAAGTCATGTGGGCTCGATGGGCAAGAGTACTCCAGCTTCGAAAGTTTTCAATGCAGTACCCGTCGGTAGTAGCAGAAGAAGAGGAAGAGATCCACTTTTTTGGTAATATCAGGTAGAGATGGACTTTACTATACTTGATATTTCGAATTGGCCCCGAACAGCGTAGAGAATAAAACGATATGTTTCTTATTCGGCTATAATCGCGTAAGCGGTATCTGCGTCAGTGAAGAAGAAGAAGATGATGATGAAGTGATGGTGATGAGAGACAGTTCCGGCGTATGTTGAAGGTAAAGAGAAAATATCTTTTATGAGGGCAAAAATAAATGCATTGAAAAATTTGAAAAATTTGAAAAATGTATCCGTCTCGCGGATGAATGTATTGAAAAGTGAGAAATAATTTTCCAATTATGCGAACATAAAAACGATCTCTTTTCCTATCCACAATCCTTTTTCAATCCTCAAAAAGTAAAACAGAAACAAATTACCACACCCCAGGTAATGTTTTAATTACTAGTTTACGTATGTAAGTACCCTCTAAATTGTTTACTGGGTTGCATGTGAGCAGGGTAAGCGTGTGTGTACACTTGTAGCAGGCGGTGGTTAATTAATTGCTGTATTCAGTGGCAAAGCAAGCACTCGACACCGTTGATGTCACATCGTTATTAGCTGCTAAGCTTTTGCTAATTATTTTTAAATTGCGCTCAGTGCACGTGTGAGTGTTGGTGTACAGATTAAACGGTATTAATTTCAACTTGTAAATAATTTTAGAATTTTTTTCTTTCACATTTTACTTTTTTAACATACAAAAACAACTACAGGTTGAAGTTTGTCGTTCGCAACACACTCAAGGCTGGCTGGGCGCTTTATATGCTTACAAGGGGCTGCTGCTTGTTGTTGGTGTTTACATGGCATGGGAAACGCGGCACGTGACGATACCAGCACTGAACGATTCACAATATATTGGCGTGTCCGTGTACCTGGTCGTCATCACCAGTGCTATAGTTGTGGTTCTAGCTAATTTGATCTCGGAACGCGTAACGCTCTCATTTATAACGATAACAACGCTGATATTGGCATCAACGACGGCAACATTATGTTTGTCTTTCATACCGAAGTTGCACGATATATGGGGAAGAAGTAAGTATGAAAAGTCGATGAGGCGACGAAGCGATAAGTCGCCATTCCACACATTGTTTTTTTTCTCATTTTATTATTTGAAACTTCACACACCGACCTTTTAATTTAGTCTAAAATGAGTTTGGCATCCCATAAAGGAGCCCAACGAATTACCTTGTCTAGGGACCTATTGGGTTTCGGCTCTTTTAATGTGAAGTGATTCTTAGAAAAGGAGATTGGAGACGTGGCCGTAAGTGTCCTCATCGAGCGGGAAACATCATCTGACGAACTGGCTAAAGAGTTTCTCTTTTTAAAATGTAACGGACTCTGCATTACGAGCACTCATTAGGGCAGTGCGGCACGCATAAGAAACAATCTTGTTTGATTGGATGTACAGTCTTTGGAAACGAACAAAACTTAAAACTTCATTGTCGTTTGGTGTCGTTTGCTCTCTATTTAGAGGGCAATACAAGGAATATACAGAGACAATGGAGCACGATGCGTTGTTGAATAAGAGCTGCAGGACCTCACTTTAAAGGTGATAAATAGCCAAAACAACTTCAGTTTTGGAAGAGACCAGCAATGTTCTTCAGACTACAGTCACAAAAATATGTGTAACAAAGCAGCTTTGGTCATATCTAGTATATCAGATAGCAGTATTTACGTGGTATCCCCCCAGTGAGACTATACAGTACTCCGCCGACCCAATAAGCTTCAGCGGTACAGCTCTCACAAAGTTTGCAATCTCGCCTTATACAGTGAGTCCGAAAAATTCTAAAACAACCCATTTCTCTTTATTAGCTAAGCATTTGATTATTTAACATGAGACCAGTCTATACATAACCAAACCACAGGGGCACCACAGCCTGCTTCAGACATTTTTTAGACTCAATCGATAGAAGCTTTAGAAGACACCGGAGACACACTAGGATCATGATAGCTGTTTGGCTATCTTTAATATATTGACTGAGGAAAGTAGTTCTGTTTCCAGATTTTTTTCATTTATCCGATCCATTCTTAATTCTTGCGTCAATTGAATAACATATCCAAAATGTTTTTCTAAAAAAAAAAACACCTCCAGAACTGGGTCTTTTCTGGGATGTCATATTACTCTTTGTACGGCAGAAAGACCACCAAGCCGCCGCAGATTATACTGTCCAACAATAGATGCGCTTCAAATTATGAGAAGAGATTGATACCTATCAGACCTTTTTTGTGAAGACTCATAAGACTTTAACCAGCAATACCAATCTAGTCACCCTCAAGCTCTTCATTTCGGTAATCGAAAGGAATTTCTTACTTTTCGGGTGTCCACTGAGCTTCAGTTCTGCGTAATCTCAGTCTGAAAACAAAACCTCTAATAAAGTTCTCCGCGTTCAGATGTTATTGTAGATCCGGTGATCCACAGCATGGGCTTAAAAATGGAGTGCAATACGAGACGATTTGTTATCGATGACAAACGTGAGCTGCAATATCGAGTAGAAGTGCAAAATCGGGTTTATAAGAAAGAGATTGCAAACCTCGATCAAGAAATACGAAAGCTTGAACGAATACTTGAGTTTGGCACGGCATCATCGGCTACATCATCATCCTCACTGGGACATCAAAGGGTGAGTTTCAGATTATCTTATTAAATTATTTTCATTATAAACAAAAAGAAGACACACTAAGTGACAAACATCCAATTTTCATTGAATTTGTTTTATTATTTTCTGTATTTGCTCTCCTTCATTGAAAACATTCACAGCCCGAGTTAACCGTTACCAGCGACACCTCTATATTCATGCGTCCCACTTCGCCAACATTCCCACCGGTATTCCCTGCGCTGCCACCGAGCAACAACAAGTCACGTGCACCCAGCATATCAGGCATACTACCGAATCTTTTGCTCTCTGTACTGCCACCAGTGATACCACGCGCTAGCTGGCCCTCCGCGGAATACATGCAGCTTTCCATGCGTCGTTCCATCGCTTTCGCTTCACAGCCACAACTGGAAGAGCGTAAGAGTGCAGCAACCTGTCTGGCCGAACAGGATCTATACAATCTGCGCATTGCCCATCGACAGGCAACCGAAACCAAAACGGGTCTCATTAATCGCATCAGAGGTATATTTTCACGAACCACTTCCAGCAATAAAGGTTCGAGTTGTAGTTTGGGTGAACCCAAAAGCTTGCGTGCTGCATTCAAATCACATATGGGTCTCTTCACACGACATGTGTCCACCACACAAGCAGCTTCTTGTAATGCCATTTACAATCAGACAACACGTCTGAACGAAGAGGTTTTGAATGAGTCATCGAACGGCACACAACTCAAGTCTATGAAACGTTTATCTTTCGCGAAGAGTGGTACACATTTGGATGTGGCGACACCGGATCCGAACTTTTTACAAATACCAACCATATCCGCTGAGACGCCAGAAGAGCCCACACACATGGGCCTGATTCTACCACTCGACGAAACAGAGCTAGAACGCATAGGTGTATCGCGATATATCAAAGTGCACGAAACAAAAGTGAACTTCCAGCTGCCAACAAATCGGCGACCGTCCATTGTGCCAGCACAGCAGCCCTCAATGCGTGAGCGCGTTCGTGGTTCGCCACGTTTTCCGCATCGCGTAATGCCCACCAGTAGTTTGGGCGCTTTGGAGGAGACGGACGATCGGTGTAGCATTGCGTTGAAGGAACGTATGACATTGGGCCGGGCGACCGGTGCGGGCAATTGGAAATCTATGGAAGTGACGACGGAATCAAAATTATCGCTCAGCGTAACACCGAGCGATAAAAGCAGTTCGCCAACAACGGGGGAGGCCGAGGACATAATTGAAATTGAAATTACAAAACCGGTGAATTAGGAAATCGAAGAGATAAATAGGTATAGAAGAAATTTTAATGAAAACATGCTCATTCTAAAGCAGTTAACGAAGCGTAACACCACAAATACGTCAATTACCCCCACCGGGTAAGGCCGATTTTAAAACATCTTATTTTTAGTAGAGACTTTTTGTAGATAACCAATACCCTGTACAACCTTGAAATTCTTTCGAACTTCAAACCTGATACTTTTACACTGACAATCCATTAGCAACTAAAATTGTATATAATTAGATAAGTAGGAAATGCTGTTTTTGAAAAATACTACGAGTTATTGGTAAGACCCGTTTTATGGAAAATAAGTATAGAAATAAGTACTCTCTCACCAGCGCAAGTTAACTGAAAAAATTAGGTAGAATTCATAAGCACCTGCAGTAGATGTGTATGTGAACTTAAGTCTTAAGATAGTCAACAGAAATTGTTATTAAAAATTAAGTTATGTGATAATAAGAATTTACTTTCCAACAAATGTGAGCTACGCAATGCAAAAACCGAAGCTAAACCTATATCGGCAAGATTGTGGTATTTATCAAATCATCAGATTAAGTTAATAACTATTATGAGGTCAATTATTTTGTATTGAATTAAACGTTTTATTTACCATATTTAGATTTATCCGATTAATGTCCAATAAGCGCCGTTTTGCACCATAACTTTTTTCCATTTTGAAGTTATTATCATTTTCCATCTTTCGTTGATACCCTCTTCTCTAATGACAAAGCTTTGGAAAAATCGATTTTCGCAAGATTTCTTGAGGTCAATTCATCACAAGCTATAACATTACCATAAACAAGGTCACTATCGATGTGTGGAGTCGCTTGTGAGCGATTGATTCCTTCTGATGAACCAATTGCTGACAGTAAAGGTTCGAATTGCGAGTTTGGCGGTAATTCTTTGCCGATCTCAACGAGGTCACGAAAAAACCTTCCTGGTTGTCAGTGTCGCTGTGCCGACTATTTGTTTCGCCTTTCTGCCGCACACGACCTTTTTCATTTGACGTTACTATAAACGATCCACTTTTCATCACTTGGCCCCATTAGCTTCAGAAACTGGTCTATGTTGCTACAACAATGATTCACAGATTCAAAATTGGCGCACGACGCTTATTCTCGTAAGCTTATGTGTTTCCTCTTATTATGCATATTTAGCTCCTTGGCAAACGAAATAAACTCGATGATTTGCATTACTTTATTGACATTTTCGACAATTGGCCTTCCACACCGTGGATTATATTTTACCCCTCAGCGGTTTTTCGCCCCAGCTCCTCCTCCAATTTGTAGTTTTGCGTCTTGATGATTTCCCAACAAATGAAAGGACCTAATACACTCGGAGGGGTGAACATTTCCTGCCGAAGGGCGACCGTAATTGGAAAATTTACCTTATTTTTTAATATTTATTTTTTAGGACAAACTTGCCAGTAGTTATGTCACGACATTATTCTGATGATCGCACCACACTTTTTCATCTATCAACTTTTCATTTTTAAATCTTCATTCACATAGAGCTTAATTCAGCTAATAAAGAAATCCTCGACTTCTTACAACTCCTGCAAAATATTTATCATTGATATACCAGTTATACAGCTTTTAGTCTTTTTTAGCATTCCACAACCAGACTAAGAAAGCTTTATTTCAACTAAGCCGCTTCAAGCTATGATAGCTTTTCATTTCTTTCCATCAAATAAGGGATCAACAGTTTTCAGATGTCTCCAAAGGTTTGATATATTACTTTGAGATTAATTTTAAATTAAAAAAAAAGTCGGAAGCATTGACAAAGCCCACTGAGGACTCAAAGAAAATTTCAGGTGTTACTTTGGTCAGTATACAAGCCTACGACTAGGCTTGTTAGTTAGAAAGAAAGAATGCGAATGAGAAAATCGAAAGAAAAACCATATCAACTCAAAATTTATCAAAACATTTCTCATAACTAACCGACCGAGTTGGTGTTGCAACTTCTATTGCTGTTTGAACAAGTCACTCCATCTTTCTTTTCGTTACAAGTAGTGAAATTTTTTTTTATTCTTGTCTGACCCGGCCACGATTGGCAACCCTCAAATTTTTGGACACATCTGCGAGTAAAGGTATGATTTTCATCTCGCCGTACTATGAAGAGACGAGTGAGCAAGTAATAAAAACAAAATATTGATGGAACCGAGCTTTAGGTTCACGGCTGATTTTTATATTAAAGCTCAGGCAGCTTTTCTGACTTTCGCAGAATGACTGAAATCGTGTTATACATATGTGAACTCGGGTTACTTGTGTATCCAAGTTATTACTTATGGTACGAGGGAACGTTCGATAATTGGGAAGATTGTAGGGTGTATTGAAGTTTATTAGAATTCTCAAGTGTTCAGTAATTCATAGAGTACGAGGTTTCATTGTTGTTAGTTAACTAAACTTTGAGCTATCGTCATAATCGAGAATTAAAAACGAAATATGGAAAAAACAAGCAAGGAAATCTCTTGAAGAAGACTCGAGGCCGGGCAGGAGCATCGAGTGACCACACAAGAACATATGTTAAAAGTTGAAGAAAGTGACCCCGGCTATACTCGACTAAAGAAGAAAACACTCGCAGAAAAGGTATGATATTTTAATTCAGCCACTCTACAGCCCAAACCTTGCCCGGAGGGGTTGTTACGTGTTTCAAAAATGAGAAAAGAGCTGAAGTGTATCACTGATGCTGAAATCAAGTTGGCAGTTTCAGCGTATTTTGAAGATAAAGAAAAAAAATTTTATAAAGGTATAAATAACAGAATTAATAGAAAGGTCAGAAAATTAATCCATTCCCCGTGCGACCAACATCCAAACGTTATAAAAAATTAATTTAAATAAAAAAGTTAAATTAAATTTTGTAACTGCGCTCGCTCGGCTTAGTATAAACTGTAGGTCCCTACATTTGTTGGAAAAACATCAAGACGCAAAACCACGTATTGAAGGAGGAGCCGGTTACAAAGCGCCAATAATATATATATATTATACTTATACAATTAATCACCGAAATATCGCCATTCAAAATTACCTTTATGAGCTTAGTCTGATTTCATTCCTCTGCAATAGTAAGTACCATAAAATTATATCAATCCTATCTTGAGGAACGCATTTACATATTTTACATATAAAAACAAGCCGATTGCTTTCTACTTTTTCTCATATGAATGTAAGCAGCTTATGTCAGCTTCCTTTTAGGATCAAAACTATTTAGTTTATTCTCTGAATTTAAATTAAGAGTAATGCACCACCCTAATATACTATAAGCAATCAAACAAATTTATAAATGTGATGTAAATCCTTTGAAATCCTTAGATTAATCAAATTTTCCCTCCACAACTTAGGAATTTAACTATTATATAATATATACGAGTATTAAGCATGAAAAAGCAATCTAGAAATTGTACATATTTATTTATGAATATTCAAGGACCTTCTGGTTCATGTGAATAGCAATATATGTATAAGTAAGCATTACAGAAATTGATCAAATATCAAATAGAATATAAATTCCCGTAGTTCTTTATTTAAATAAATCATCAACAATTTATAATAATTTATACGATTACAGGCTGATTGAGAGCCAACTACGGTATGATGAAGCAATATTTAATAGAAAAAGAAATAAAAACAAATTATATCATAAGACATTTAATTATATAATATTAAGCCACAAATCTTGTGGTTAGTGCTCAAGTAAACTTTAATTCTAGAAAAGTGTGCATTTAAATAATAAGAAAGTAAAGCTTTTGAGTAAAAGTTGAAGAAAAAATTGTGTAACATAAATTTAAAACTCAAAACGAAATATTTTATTGTCTCAATGTACAATGTAGATTATCTAAATATATACACATGCATGTATGTATGTATGTATACACCATCTCCACCTTTAGAAAGCAATAAGTTTAGAAATAATGTTTGAAAGAATAAAAAAACAAAATAAAGAACAAATCGATTAATGTACAAAAAAGACGATTTCTTTTTTATCAAATTTTCAAAACTTAAATCACGCAAGTATATATAATATATAAGCGAATGGCAGCGAAACAAGAAGTTTTAATTGAAATTCTTGAAAATATTGAAAAGCCATTTTCAGTTCAAACCTGGTCTGGCCTCCGTTACGCAGAAACCCACCAGCGACTGAGATGATGGACAGTATTGCAGAGAAGACTTTGACATAGCAATTTCAACCTGCAGACTCAGTGCGAGATACCCACTCAAGAAATCATATATCCGATGAACCCAAAGTGCAGGTATTGAAGCTCGCACTATAATTACAACAATTTATTGTATCATATGTACATATATATCACATGATTGTGATCAAGTAATGCTCCCAGCGTAACGAAAGTATTGGCTACTATTGTTCGAGAGAGATGACCAGGATCTACTTCTCCTCTGGGTAGGTTGTTGTGAGATCCTACTTTTCTACTTTTAGGATACGTACTTAGATAGCCGCGTTTGCATTGCGAACTGCCTTTCGAAAGGCTCGGGTTTAAATGCTGGTGTCTTACTGACATCCAAAAGCTTATAGAAAATTAATTTAATAAAAATTTGAGTTAAATATTCTAACTACGGTCGCCCCTCGGCAGGGATTGTCAACCACTCCGAGTGTATTTCTAGCATGAAATAGAACTCCTCATAAAAAATGAAACCATCAGCCCGTCGGAGGCGGCTTAATATGAAATAAAGGGACTTTGTTAGAAAAAACATCAAGACGCAAAACTACAAATTGAAGCAGGAGCTCGATCGAAAATAGCTTCAGCGGTTACCTGGCGCCAATCATATATATATTTATTCTGAAAGCTAACCTCAGCTACAATCCGGAGTTCGTCATAAGACTAGGAGAGTTTCTGATTCCTGTCGAAAATTTTAAAATGAGGAAGAGTCAAACTGGACTTCAACTCTGGTAGTCCAAGTGATGGAAAGTCGATGATGAAAAGTTAATACAAAAATAAAATTATTCGGATTTGGCAAAATAAAAATTAATACTATTACAATATACTTATAGAGTTCCCGACTGGGAACAATTAGATGATAGTCACTGAATTAAGGCAAGCATGTCTTATCACGTGTACTTGAAGCCCTAACCCACAGGGCGACTAACATCATCAATTTGGAAGTGTGGACTCACCATCTAAAATATATATATCCAAGAAAGTATATTAATAATAAACTCGACTAGTCACTGACCTGGGACTACCCTTCCGCCACACTAGCTGCACGAAGAGGTGGCAACGCGACCTGAATGTCAAAGTCAATTTCGTTAAAAATCCGGAAACCTGAAACCGAGTTTTTCTTTCTCCAGACTGGATAAGGAAACGAAGCATGTGGGTCGGGTATATGGTGCGAAAGCATGAACGATGACAACGTCTAAGAAGTCGGCTTCGGCAGTTTTCAATAGAAAGGTTTTACGTAAGAGTTATAGATCTCTGAGGCTGCTGTGCGGTATATATGGCGCCATGCGAACCGGATGGATAAGAATATTTCAACTATGAAAGTTCTCGATGCAGAACCCGCCCGCGGAATCATAGGAAGAGGGGGACCTCCGCTCCGTTGGGAATAGCAGGTGGAGAAGAACCTTGCCATACTTGGTATTCCAAACTTGAATACAATTTACAAGGACTCGGTCAACTCTCTCTTTGTGATCGGCATCATCGTAATCTAACCAGATCAAACAAAAAACCCCAAGTATTATTTGAGAGTTGAGCATTACTATTGTCTGAACTCACACCTACATCACTAGTAGACCCCCTCTTCTCCCCCTCTCTTCCATGACCAGTGTTCTTGAACATCTATCGATAATCTCGACGACCTCCACAAACTTTGACAACTCCTAAGCACAAAATCAATAACAACAACAGAACAGAATGAGAAGATTTATATACATATATAGGATATTGATTGCATTCTTCTTTCATTTATGTACAATTTTCGAATATCTTGTTTAAATTCCACGAATTCGTACATATATTTATATATACAAACATACACGTAATGACATACTCACACATCCTTTTAAAAGCATCTACAGATACGAGCGGAGGTTGGTTGGAGAAGCAACCGTCATTAGTAAAGTTGGGAATCCAATTTTATAGCGGAAAATCACTGTATACCGTTCTCTTAATATGTTATAAATGAGCTGATAACTGCATCAGACTTCAATAAAAATTTACTGCTCACTCTTCTGCTCAAATTACATACGAACATACCAACCATATGAATGTACGCTTAAAGACCCTAAGAAATTTATATGTTTCCTCAACAAATATATGTATGTGTGAATGAGCCCTCATACTT